CTGGGTTCCGAAGCCCTCGCACAGGGTTTGGAGTGCAAGCCTTGAGTGCATGTCTAAACTCCAGTTTTAGGATCGAGGGCATTAGGTTGACAGATTTAGGTTCAGGGTTGTGAGTTTGCATGAGTTTGAAGAAGGCATGGGAGGTGGACAGGTGCGTGGTGGTAGAGTCTGCGGTGGTGCCCTGTTGGTTGATGATGCGGGTCTTTGTTTTTCTGGCAAGCAAGTCGTCGACCTGCAAGGTGGCGCCATCTTCGGCAGCTTTATTGGCGGTGCGCTCATCATGCAGGAGCCCGAGATTTTGCCAAACAAGACGAACAGTTGACGCCTGCTTGACCCATGGGAGGCGCAAATTCAGAAATGAGGCTGTATGACTGCATGCTTTCACATCGGTTTTGAAGGCAGAGGCCAGGTGTTCCGGGCGTGAAGACTTCACCTGCTTGCTTGGCCTGAAGAGCGTGCTGATCTGGCTCTACGTTCGCCACACGGGTCTCGTATGTCACAGCATTTTCGGCGCTAAGCTGTAGGGAAACGGGGCTTGCGTCCTTTGCAAACAAGCAAATACGTTGCGAGCAGCAGACAGGAAGAATGCAAGAGCCAAGTGAGAGAAGGCCAGTGCTACCTATGTCTTGCTTTCTGGCTTGGTTGCCTGGACAGTCGACGCTGGATAGTGGCGCACTAGCCCTCTCGGGTGGGACCTGAACCACAGACGGCGCGGGGCTGCACGCGTTGCTCGCGGGGGGCTGCAACGGCCCCCTACAGCTCGAAGAAGAAGAAGAAGAAAAAGAAGAAGTGCCACCTGAGGTCCCGAGGCAGGCGACAGATTATTGGGTGGTCCGCGGTGCCAAGCATGATTGGAGCCTGGTATGCCCTAGAACGGTGAGAGACTGCAGATAACGTTTGTACATTTTGAAGTCCAGAGTGTTCCAAGGACCCTTGCTCGTTTTCACTGCTCACAGCCTGGCACAACTCATCGTGGGGCGCTTCCTGCAGCTTTGATGCTGTTTGTCCGAAGGTCGCAGTATGTGACGCGCAGTTTCTTTTCGGTCACAGGAGATATGTAAAGGATTGACATTGGATTGGTCACGGCAAGTTTCTGATTGGAAACCGAGAACACACCCACCAAGAAAGAGAACGTCAACACATACACTGAAACTTGCAAAACGATAGCACACTCACCGATTTTCAATGACCAGCAGGCCGGACAACAAACAAGAAGCGTGCATCATGTAGCAATACCCCGCTCAATTGTAGCTTGGTGCCCAAATGTCAGGATGGGTGTGGGCATTGGCCTTGCGTCCGTTGCCACTCCCAGCTACCTCAGCGAGGTAGTTTTGCCCGTTGCTTGGAAGCAAAGGCTGGCCGCTAAAGCAGTCATGGTTGACAAAGCTTGTGTTAAAGAGACCGCTTCCACAGGCCGGATGTGGAGGGCCTAAGCTAGACTGTTAAGTTGAAAAGCTGGACCAAGGAGAAGCGAGGACTCTTCGAGGCTTGAGTTCTGGATTGCACGACGACACATGCAGATCTAGATGAAGTAAGCATCTCAGGCTTCAGAAAGCTTTGCCTAGCTATGACTCGTCTTGTGGAGCCCAACGAGTCACGCCTATGCAGATTTGGTGCATGAGCTTGCTGAAGATTGCAGGCCATGTACGAATTGGGCATTGCCTCTGGGATGCTTCTTGCGGCTTTAGCCAACGCTCTCATTCAGGCAAGGATGCTTGTGGTTGCATCTTCTCAACTGTAGACAAGATTGGCACCAAAGCTGCGACCTTTGATACACGGCCGTCTGAGTCCTGGGATATAACTTCAGCTAGACAAGGACAAACTGCGCGGTGTAGGTGACACCTTGCTTTCAGATGCGGGAAACTCGGCTTACAACCGGCTAGTAGTAGTGCTTCGCCTGAAGTGGCGCCTGAGCATCAGAAGTCAGGAAATCAAAGCGCACATGGAAGCACCATGAGTTTGAGAAGCTGCACACTCTTTTGCTTGGTGTAGCATAGGCTTGCACGAATACAAAGGGTCTGCAGTGTGCAAGCTGCCGATTTCCAAGGCAGAATCTGAGACGAGCAATTTCAGAGGGGTAGCTGGATCTGAGTACCGATTCTTTTTTGCAACTGCAGACATGACGAGGCTAAAGCATGCTGACAAAGCACCCCACTGCTGTCTTCAAAGAGTAGCAAGTAATTGTGCAGTCCCTCAGATGGCGAGCGCTGAGTCGGTGTGGCGCTATCAGGCAGATGTGTTCCCTGCAAAGCTTTGGAGGTTCGTAGGTGTCAGAGCGATGTCTTGTCTGGGTGTTGTCTTGACCGTGAAAATACATCAAGCTCAAACACTTGGACGTGATATGACCTGATACTTTGCTGCACAGTGCATGAGACTTCGAACTGGCAGGCTGGATGCGTTCCTTTTTTCTTCGCCTTTCCTGTGCTGATGGTTGTCTGCTTTGTACCAGAGTCACCCAGGCCAGGCCAGCGAATTCCCGTTTTCATGAGAAAATGGCAAGATAAGAGATCTGGAGGTGGATGCTGCAGACAACAGGTTCCAGCCCTTCTGCATTGTTGGCCGTACTGGAGGCCCTTTTTTGTGTGCCTCCTGACCTATGGATAGAACCCAGATGCATGCACAAGTCCGAACTTGACTTTGCCAGGAGATCTCCAAACTGCGCCGGCGTGGCGCGCAGGAGCGGCTGCAGACATGGCGCTCAACTCGCAGGCTCTGGTTGTCTGTAGCTTTAGCAGCTACATGCCAATCAGTCTAGGCAGCCCTTTTTACCACAGCAGATGCTTTTGCCATGCAGGGGCAGCTTTGACGAAACAAACGTCGAGGGGCCATGCGTGGGCGACATCGACGATGACAACAGCGATCACGAAGATGATCTAGTCCGTACCAAGACTTCAGATCAGTGCGTTTCAGGTTTGATGCTTGCCTTCATGTTATTTGTCTGCTCCAGGTTATTGCGAACACAGATCTCAGGGCTATGTTTCTTCTGGCTCGCGATTGGTCATGTTATTTCCTGTACTGCCTACGCAAGATCGGTCCATTGTAAAAGAGCAACAAGCTTTCCCTGTCTTCTAACCGATCGTGCCAGGCTGATCACGGTGATAAAGTCTATGTCTCAGTAAGTGCTCTTGCCATCCAGTCACCAAGCAGGAAGATAGTGGAGAAAAGACGAGAAGGTCAAGATGTTTTTGGGATGATGACCAAAGCTTATCAAAGCTTTAGTCAGCAAAAATCGTACTCCCCTGAAACACACGCAAAGAAAGTGATTGGTTGGCAGCAAACAAAGTACCTGGTAGACGGTAGCGCAATCCCTCTGAGCAAATCGCAATTTTCGATGTGCTCACTCATGATGATGGCCGGTAATCTGGGTTTGAAGGTACAAGGCCCAATGCAACAGCAAAATGTATCCCAGGCCTCTGGGATGAAAAACATCTCGCAGCCGGAGCTCCGTTGTTCAATCCTGATGTCGAGGCTGTCCGTGTCCAGTTTTTGGAAGCAACACCTGAGTGAGCCTCACCCTGCAAGGATTCGGATTGTGGGAAGAAGGATAAAACTGTCCGCCTTCGCACGTTGACGATCCTTGGGCGCACGCTGAGAGATGTCGGGAGCCCTGGTTCGAATGAGAACCCGACATTTTTTTCAAGGTGTGCTGCTGTTCCAGGCTTGTGCGATCATCCTGGGCTCGCATCAGGCGCCGGACTCAGAGTTTGAGCAAAGGAGAGACCAACCGCATTGAAAAAGCATGGACTATAGCCTAAGCCTTTCACAGGGGGAGTTGGACCTTGGAGGTTCCTCCTGGAGCTCGCCGTGGCCTGGGCCTGGCACTCGCTGCAGCGGTCCTTGATCAGGCGAAAAACGCTTTCCTTTTTTTTTTGAGAAAAAGCAGAGAAAACTTGTATGCAGAAGAAAACTTCAACGAAAGGCATTCGGATATCTTTCCAGACGCTTAGACAATTCTTTGACTGCGGAGGCCTGTGCATCTACCTCGATCTTGATCTACGCCCAGAAGCTGCTAGGAACAGTCGGCGTGGGCCAGGATTGTATTCACATCGTTGCAGTGACGGTACCAGCAGAACTTTGCTTCAGTTGGCACACACGACAGGAGTCACAAGACCTTCTGACTCTGATGGTGGTGGGAGCGAAGATGTTGGGTGTGAGCGCTTGCGGCAAGAGTGCAGTACACGTTAACTTGCATACTGCCCTCTGCACAATTTGTGAGCCTTTGTGTTTGTGTCTCCCAAGGATTCTGGGTCTTGTGATTGTTGAGCGATTGTCCAGGCTGGCACTGCACGCTGAGGCAATTACAGTAGCATTACAGTTTCGTGCTCGCAAGGCGGATGCTCCTGGGAGCTGGTGGCGGTGACCCGACGTCAAAGCTTAGGGCAAGAGGAACTGTGTCATTGGTGTTATTGCTAGGTCTTGAGACTTGAGAATCACAGCTTTGGCTTTGGATCATACGCCATGGCGGTCCCACGAGGGGGCGCGTGCTTTTTGCTGTTCTCGTTTCTTTCCTCAATAACCAGAATCTCATTTTTCGTTGTGAAGGTTCTCTGGTCCTGCATGCAGTGGTTCTATCTAATTTCAATGAGCTGCAAAACCTGAACCTCTGGACTTTCGAGGCAACTTCCCCTAAACCGCGCATGGACATGCAGCGAAGTAAGCTAACACTCAAGATCATGGTAGTGATCAAAGGGAGTCATGGCTGGCAAGCACCCAGTAGAACAGTTTCTGCACTTCTTGTTCCTCTCATATTGACGACGTGTCTTTGGGAATTTGCACAGTGTTTGTTTCGACAGTTCAGGTAGGATTCACTATGATTCACTTGACTCCGGTGTGCCATTTCTTTTTGTTGAGGATGTCGCATGGGTGGGTGAGGGCGCCTGCAACCTTACTGCTGAAGCCACTGAGGCAAGCCACACTAAACCTGAAACCATCTGAAATCTAAAGCATTGAAGCCCCTAAGCAAAAGCTGGTAACTCTGAAGATGGTATTTCCTTTGCCTACTGATCTGCCGCTACACGAGAACAGCTCACAATTCACCCCCCAGTTGCTGCAGCTGACAACAGTCGCTGGGCTCAAAAAACAAACCGAATTCACTGCACCCATGTTAATTCTGAATGAAACAGCCAGAAAACCCGGTAACTTTTAACCACTGAACATCTGAGCGTGAAAGCCCTCAACGTCCAAGCAGTGCTTACAAACTCATTACCTCAAAATGAGAAGTTCATATTTTGATGATGTTTCTTTCGGAGCTGCTATGCGCATGCTGCGTCGTTGCTCGCAACATCGATTGTGACCAGCCAGAGCATGAAGCAACAACTAGGATGCTTAAAGCCCCCGCACCCCCCAAGGGGTTGAAGCTCTGATCCTGCAGCTCGAAAAATTTTATCGCTAACGCTAGACCGCCTCGGCAAAGGTAGTCGAGGCAAAGGTAGTCGAAAGCACTGCCAATGAATTGCAAGCTGCACGTGAGCTGCATCTGAAGCTGACAACGTGTTCACCTGCACCACAGCCCCACTTCCTGGCAAACCGACGAAACCGGCGCCGTTAAATCGTGCCTTCTGGGAAAGGGTGGGGGGTGGGTTGAACTACTCCTAGTCTCCCGCTCCCGGATCTAAACGACCCAGGGGTCTGGCCTGGCGGATCCTACTTTTTCCGATTTCACCTCATTTTGACTGTTTTCACCTCCTTTTGCGAGTCTCCCGGCTCCAGCTCCTTGGGGACCTCCCGGCTTTTGCTTTTGAAGCCTTCCCAAGAAAAGTTTGCTCTACCTGCAGACGGGCTCATGCATGGCACAAATTTCCCGGCCTCTTGAAGCTTCTCCAACAAAGAGGCGAGGCTTAGAGACCCAAAGAAGAGTGCATTCTACCAGCATCCAGGTCCCACAGAGCTCTTGGCCTCTCCAAATATGTCAGGAGGAGTTGATTGTCCTAGCCAGCTAATCCTGGCTTACGCGAAGCGTGTACGAGGAATTCTCAAGGCCCAAAGGCCTGGGATGAGGGGACATAGAACCCGGAAACTGAACTCGACCTGTAATGATGGAACTTAGAGACCCAAACCCAAAATGGAGATACCGCAAAATTAGTGCAGCCCCTTTAGCTTTGATGCCATGAAACCCAACGTTGCGAGCCCTGACATCAGTCAGACCATGAAAGCGCTCAACACTACCAAATCCAGAAGTCCTTCACTTCAGTTGTAAATACACGCTGTTTGCAGTGCAAAGTAGGTAGCTAGATGTAGGTCCGCTGAGCGCACTGTACAAAGGACTTACACCGATTAACTTTGGTTCAAAGAAAAGGTGAACGTTGCTGCTTGCTTGTTTTCCCTTTGTAACACACTTGCTTGTCGTGTGCTCAGCATTTCGAATCGCATTTAAAGTAGTCTTCCAAACCTATCTGGCAACATTTCGGGTCGCGCCCAAATCGATTCAAATAATATTCCGGACCCGCCAAAAAACTGTTGATTTTTTCAATAAAAAGATTTTCGAATGGCCTTTAAAGTAATCTTCCAGACCTGATTATCCGGCGAGATTTCGGGTCGTGCCCCAAGTCGGTTCAAATTGCCTTTAAAGTAGTCTTCCGGACCCTCAAAAAATCGTTGATTTTCAGTAAAAAGGTCATCGAATCGCTTCTAAAGTAATCTTCCAGACATAATTATCCGGCGACCTTTCAGGTCGCGCCCCCTTTAAAGTAGTCTTCCTGACCATCCCGAGATCGTTGACCTTCAAAAAAAAGACCCTCGAACCGCTTCTGAAGTAATCTTCCAGACCCATCGAGCGACACATCGGGTCGCGCCCCAGGTCGACTCCAAATCGCCTGTAAAGTAGTCGTTTTGTTGACCATCCCGAAATCGTTGATTTTCAATACAAAGATCACCGAATCGCTTTTAAAGTAGTGTTCGAGACCTATCGGGCGACATGTCGGGTCGCGCCTCAAGTCGACCCCTGGAATCGACGCCGTTCTCCCTGTTGGGCACGTGGGAGCGCTGGCACATGGTGCGTCGCATCGCTGGAGCATGGAGCATCCTCAGAATTCAGTTTGGAACCGATGACCCGCTGTACCTGTCCTGGCACAACATGCTCTCCATTTCGTCGCCAGTTATTGTATCGTCTTCTTTTCTCGGTGGGCGACAGCATCTGAAATTATCTCATTTAGATTTTGCTTAAGCTACACATACAGGGTTATCCGGTCCTTTCATGAATCATGTTTCACAAGTTTCATGATTCTTCACAATTTTTCATGTTCTTTGAAGATTCTTCACCATTCTAATGATGTTTTATAGTTTTTCGCCCGTTTTCATGATTGTTGACCGTTTTCAGGATTATCAAAAACACAAACAAATTTTGCGTCCAAAGCAAACTTGGAGGTCAATTCGGCGCAGAGGTCTGATGATAACGTCGAAGAAGGCCAGGTCCCCCACCATGCTGGCTCTGCAGGGCAAGAGGTGTCCTTGATGAATTTGCTCAGAAGACTGCATGCTCTGAAGTAGCCAGAATTTGCATGTGGGTGACACGTACTGATGCAAGGACATTGCTGAGATCACTGAAGAGGAATTCACCAAGAACCTCATCATTTTGGCTACGTGTGGTGCTGCTTTGTTTGATGTGGCAGTGGCCGTCTACTTCATCAAACGGCTTGCTCAGTCGTCGCATGAGTGCAATATCAAAGCTGTGTCAGTAGGAGGGTTGCGCCGATTCTGGGCACCAGAAGTTGTCCTAGCCGCTCCGCACCTTTCTTTCGTGTTCCCGCAGCCATCCTGTCAAGGTCATGTGCAGCCTCGAACTCTGACAGCTCTACGGACGAGTCTGTGGCGGTACAAAAGGCTACAACTGTAAACTCATCATTGTGCCTTTTGCAAAATGAGGTAGCCTTACCCTGCTGGTCCTGCCAGCCGGTGCGGTTTGGGGTTTGCGTTGTTAACAGAGCTGGTGGATTCCATAGCAATTGTCCGTACTTGTATTAACAACAAGCATGACACATGCACACAAAACGTCATCAGAACATCGGACAGCTAATGATAATGAGGACTCGAATGTGCAATATGAGCAACAACTGCTAGACCGAGGAACACGCTGGTAAACCCATCGATAAGAACAACAACGGGTTCATGTTTTGATTGCCTTGTGGCCCTTGCGCAGGGTAGAGCTTTGGATCTACGAACCGGCACCTGCGGATGTGTGGGACGATTGTACGACCTTGATTTAAACCATGAACTTGCCCGCAAGTGCTGAAATTGCGCTGCCATTGCTCGAGCCTTCAGCATGGGTGCCTTTGCATTAGGCTGTGCAAAGCGTTCACTGCTGCACATCGTTGGAAAGCTGCAGAGACTTCAATGGAACCTGCCGTGAGGGAAGCCGACGAGGCGGGGGATCCTGCTGTCCCGCAAACTGCCAGTGTACTAACTAGTGGATAAGTTTAGCAGCGGCCCCCCTTTCTGTGGCCTCGGGCGATGCGCGAGGCCGTCCCTGAGACCTTCGAGCTTGCCAGAATAGGCTTGCTTCCATTGGTTTCCTGTGTCTTCTTTGAAAAGACCCCTTACAGGGTTAGCACAGTATAGGTTGACCCACCGTGGATCGGGTAAATCTTGCACGTAGGGTTTGGGTGGCCCCCGATGATGCCCATAGCTGCATGACTGCTGCATGTTTGCATGTTCAGTTCTGGCCTGCACATTCTGAACTTCCTCGGCACAGGTACCTTTTCCTCTTGCTTTCCAGCTTCCTTCGGCTGTCCGCGGCAGGCGCCGTCAGTCAGCGAGTTTCAAGTCCTTAAGGTATGTTCTGGTCAATTTTGTCCGTGAACTAGCCCGGCTGACATCGACGACCTACTGGCGCGCTGGTTGCCTCAAATAGCCTTTGCCCTATCATCAATTATTCGGGGGGTATGGAGGCTTTAGCTTGTGCTCTCTTTGGAGAGCATTTCTGACTTTGTCGGACTGCGTGGCTGACTCATCGATTTGGTTGACTCACTGGGCTTGAAGCAACCAACAGCATCCCAGCTTCTGCAACCCCACTTGAGAGAAAACATCACGCTGATTCACGACCTATGCAAATACGCGATTTGAAGGAATCCAGTTGCTGTGCCGCATCTGAAACATATTAAATGAGCGTCATTGAGCGCTGTTCAGTGCAGAATGTAACTATTACTCCCCGCCTTGCTGGGGCTGCTGCTTGATGGAGCGCCACTTGGCACTTGAGCACCTGTGATGCGAGGGTCTCGCAGCACCGACGGTTCGTGGACGAATCCAGCCACATGCTGAGCTGATGACACATGTTATGGTCAAAGTCAGAGTAACCATTTGCCGTGTTCCCCAAAACGCGGTTTGGTTGTCGCAGAGATGTACAGGCTAGCAGGCTGGCTGAC